AAAAACAAGGCCTTTGCCAAGATCAAGGATGCCTGTAAACGGCCTTTGTGCATCCTGGACTGAGAAGGCAATGAAGGAAGCTGGATTCCACGTGCCAGACTCCTTCGATCTACTTCCGGAGATGATCAACAAGGTCCGGTCAGAGTTGATGAAAATGCAGGGTCCTTTCTTGCTGCTTGGCGCACCGTGCCGCTGCCAGGTCTACACCAGTTTGGTGGAGGCCGGTGAGATCGTGGAGCAGCACGAGGGCGAGACCCCCCAGGCTCTGACAGGGCAGCTCATGGGGCAGCTCAGGCGGCAGTTTAAGCATGGAAGCCGCAGCAGGTGCCCATGGACTACACCTGGGCAAAGAAGCTTGGAATGGTCAGGCACAGCATCCTGTAAACTACCTTCAAGCCGTCTGTCGGCAACGGTCCGACATGTGTGCACGTGGCTTGTGTCCCTCGCAGGAAGCCTGCAAACTTTATCTCATCCATCTCCGATGATCGCGGAGAGGACGGTCCAGAAGCCTCGTGCGAGCCGTGTTGCAGTTATGAATGCCAAGGAGCTGACCTACTGCGGCATGAGCATCTCAGACGTCTTCACCAAGGACCAAGGGTGCTGCTGTGATCTGTGCGGCGCTTTGCTTGCCCTGATGTCCGAAGCCAGGAGATTGGCATCGGCGGCGTTCTCTCTCTCTTGTGGTTCCGCCGCCAACTTCCCGCCTTGCACTGAGATGTGCTGACGCGAAGAGTGTGATCCAAAACCCTGATAGCGATCCCGGAAGAGTGAGAGCGATAAGCAAAAAGCCCGGCCAGGCCGGACTAGGAACTCATTATCCTTAAACAGTGACAATGCCGAAATCCGATACATTGTTGGCATGGATATGTGGTTGTCAAGCCTAGCCTGAACTTCAGATTAGTCAGATTAGCGGGAGTTCTTGTGCCACCAAGGCTTACGCAACGAAGTTCATCGAGATGATTCTCATGGTCACGGCCGACCATGGTCCAGCGGTGAGTGGTGCACACAACACCATCGTCACAGCCCGCGCAGGCCCAGTGTGAGCAACAGTCCATGCACAGAGTGGATCGCGGTCTCACGCTAGGCAAGGATCTCGTGTCCTCTCTTTGCAGCGGCCTGCTGACGATTGGGCCTCGCTTCGGTGGTGCGCTGGATGATGCGGCGAGAATGTTGCTAAGCTGGCATTCTCACTTCTGACAGTGAGGGCCTGCTATGAGTTGGGATCATCGTTGCCTTCACTCTTTTGGTTCAGGTTCGCAGATGCACAGGGCAGCGGAGTGGCGCCCAAGGCCGGGTGACCCCGGCAGCCGATTTCGTTTCTTCTTTAGCATCGCTTTCAGCGCTACTTGTAGGATTGGATCGAGAAGATGAAGAAGAGCAACCAGCTCATCATGGGCATCGGGCACAGGATCAAGTCCCTGGCAAATCCTGACCAGCGAGTCGGCTCCCCAAGTCCAGTCTCACCAGGAGTTCTCGCACGAAGTGGCATGCCAGGTGGAGATCATCAAGGGTTTCGCCAAGAAGAACTTCAACTCAACGCCCGTTCTTGACTATGCTCTGGCAGTGGATGCTGAGCTTCTATAGAGTCTACATGCCTAAGTTGTGTGAGCAGCGCTTTCTGCACAAGCTTCAGGGTATCCACAAACCTATGGAAATGGGAGTCTGAATCCGGAAAGTAGTGTAGTATTTGGGTTCAGTTTGATTCTCAGAGTTTTCGAGGAGCAGATCACGACTCGCAAGAGGGCCAACTTGATCCTCAACGTCGACGGCTGCATCGCTGTGTCCCATCCCCTGCTTGTAGCTGGAAGTGGGCAATCCTAGTGTAGCCAAGTGCGTCTTCACTTCGAGTCATGTGTTCTGAGGTACTACGGTCTTGCATATTGCCTGCCGAAATCGTATCTGTTAACAAACATGTCATGCGCAGCTGAGCCATTCCGTACCGGAGCGTCGTACTGTAGTGAGCTCCGGCATCACAGGAGTCTTCTGAAAGCTGAAAGGTCGTTTGTGGACATGATCCGATCCTGCGGTGCATTCTCAAAGGACCGCAGCGGTCAAATCTTCGGCATTGGAGCGCCTGCTGCTTCTTTGCTCCTGCGCTGCTTTGCAGGAAGAGTGCGACGATTTGATGGATTTTGGTTGCCTGAACGGGCTCTTTGTGCTAGGCCGGACATTCACCTACGTCTCGCTTCTTGGGGCTTGTTCGTCGTGATGGGATTTCTCGAAAAGGCCGATCGATCGGCTTCATCGGACACTACCTGGATCAGCTGCGGCTGTATCCTCAATGAGGTCTTTTTGGGAGCAGAGCAGCACGTTGCAGTACCAAGGTTGAAACAGCCGCTGTACCGCCATCCTTGGGATGACATCACGTACATCCAGGACATCTTGTTGGTGGGCGCCGGGGAAAATCTAAAGTTGCCCTTAGATGCTCGGCGCGCCCAGGAGCTTGCAGGCCAGGGGCCGGAGTGATGCCTGAGCCTCGTTGACTCGTTGCTTCTGATCTCTGGGAAGCTACGATGTATCCGCGGCTGAGGACTTTGTTGGATGTTGTTTGCGACCAGTTTTGAAAAGCGGCCGATGTCTGGCTTTCCCGTGACTTAGCGGATGCAGTATGCGGACGCCGCGTCATTGGCGCAGGGCTTGGATAGGGCGTGAGCCCGCCTCGCACTGTGCGCCATCCCGCGAAGGGAGCAGCCACGGCTGTAAGCGCCATTGGCTTCCAGCTTAGGGCAAAAATGTGTTATGCAGAGCCATGCAGATACGGTTTCCGGGCTATAGCTAGCCACGTCAAGTTTACAAAAAGCTTTGTGCGGTCATTCAAAACTTCCGGAACCGCAAGTGTACAATCAACAAAAGCCAAGATGTCGAGCCATCAAGTCCTTTTTCCACCTTTTCCATGGAGTTTCTTGCACACGAAAGCCAAGGTCATGCTTTCATAGAGTTCTGTGGAACACGATTTTTCAACAAGCTTGGTGCTTGCTTCGAAGAAAGCATGGCCTGATGATTTCTTCATACGAAATAGGCAGGGTAGTGACTTTCAAGCGCTGCCAGGCACAGGTCTTCCAAAGCTTGCGCGAGCAAAAAGTTTCCGAGGCTCCGGCTCGGTGCATGCCAACTTAAAGGATCATGGGACTTAGTAAATATGGTTATTATTAGGGTAACTATACTTATAACTACTTATAACCCCAAGTGAGGTACTTATAACCATACTTACTAGGTCCCATGATCCTCCAAGAAGTAGTTCAACGCGGATCCTCCAAGCCGTCGTGGTTGGACCCTCGCCGAAGGTTTGACATGACATCAGCCAGGGGTTGACAAAGGGGCAGTCACAGGCACTACCCAACCGAGTGGGGTCTGGCAGGCGCTGGACATGGGCGTGACTGAACGACTTGTGGCTTCATCGTTTCGGCTCAACCGATGTCGATTTGCAGTTGCTGGGTTTGGGAAAGATGGCAGCGGCAGCTGCGCCTCCGAGCTCCTGGAAAGCATCTTCAGCTTCCATGCTTCGGAAAAGTCTGCAGACCTAAAAAGGTCTTTGACAGGCCGAACCCCCACAGCAAAGCCCTGGTAGACGAGCGCAGGCTGACAGAAACTCCCTCATCCCCCTTTTCCTTTTGTGGCCGAGGCAGTGAGGATGTGGGGCGATCCACCGAAGCAGCAGAGGCCCCCGTGTTTTGGGATGTAGAGAGAGGGCGATTTGTAAAAGTATTCAGACGTATGCAAAATGTGTTTGCGGGTGACTGGGATGATTTCTTGTTTGTCAGTTCAGCTTGACAGGGCTTGGTCATGTGAGTCAAAGCTCGCCAGCCTCCGCCAGGGTCCCTGCTCTGGTCCCTGAAACCCTTGTGACATGCTCTTCAAGCTTTATGAAGCCCTCATCCCAGACTTATAAAATCTGCAGCACCTGCGCGGAAACCAAGCCCAAACTGCGGATCTGCCTGTTTTTTTGCACTCGGCAGCCACCTTCGAACGCCAATAGGAACAAAAGGAAAAGACTCCGTGGGCCTGTCAGTTGGAGAGGCGAGCTGACCCGATGAAGATCAGAACTGAATCTAGCCGCGGTGTATGTCCAGGCATCCCCTCCCAACTTAAACTTGGCAAGCTTGATGATCAACAGATGTCATCCTGCAGCCTTCTGAGGCCGATGCGGCTGCTGCAAAACCAGAGGGCGAAGTCGCCGAGGATCGGTGCCGCAAGTCATGCAAGCTGTTTGGAATCAGAGTCACCAGGGGCTTGGATGCCAGTTGATGCGTCATCGTAGCTACAAATTCCACAGCAGCCTCACCGGAAAAGCCATGCTCTTTTCATCATGCTGAGATCCAAGCGAGGCGACGAAGCAGACTATGTTCCAAGCTACTTGCTGGGCTTGCAATCTGACTGCGTGTTCTTTTTGCTGGCTTGGCTTTCACCTACGTCAAGTGTTGCCTCATGTAGTTCGTCTAGACCCTAGGTCACCGTCGAGCTTGTCAAGCCACGGGTTGGCTTGGCAAGTTGAAAGGTTTGGAGAGGTTTAGTTGCCAGAGTTCCCAACACCATCCTCTCTGGACGAGGCATGCATGCAGTAAATGCTGATTAATTGAAACACTGCTGTCGGACGCATTCGACGACGATACCTTTAGTCAAATCATAGAGGTTTTCTGCTTACCTGCTGTGCCACCAGGTGGGCAAAGTGGGCAAGGAAGCCCTAGACCCTCTGATGCCTATAGCCGCGCGGTGATGATTGAGAACAGCTTGTGGCAGTGTCGATTTAATGCCGTTGGATGAGAGCGTACCCAGCGTAGCCGTTCCGGCCAGGTCATTCCCAACCAAGGTGAGGACAGTCGACCAGTGCCCAAGCAGGTGCGATTTGCTCGTACTCTCACCCGCTCTTTGCGAAGTGAATCTCCCGTTCCACACGCAAACTGCCGCCGAGACATCCGGTTCCAGGTCCAGTGCTTGGAAAACGGAACCGACCTCTTCAAGATGTTTGAGGTTTCCAGCTTGGAAAGCTGACTGTGCATCACAGCCTGCTGCGAGAACCCAGACCTGCTGGCCTTCGTCAGGCGGACATGAACAAGTTTGACGCCTCACAGGTGCGAAAGTCTTATCACAAGATGGTAACGGGACTCAGAGGGGCTCAACCAGGCAGCAATTCGGCTTCCTTGTTCACAGCTGAGCTGAGGCGACCTTCGTGCACCCAGACAAACTTGGTCGAGAACCCACGGATGCGGACCGTGCTCGTGCTGCAGCCACATTTCGGGATGGCTTGGTTTACCTTCTGAGAAGCATCGTCGGCAACAAAGCGCTGCAGCTGAGCGACATGTCCCGAACTTTCTTGCCTTGAGGAGGTTTCGTTGCAGTCACGGTCCCTGAAACGGCTAGCCAGATCACACTGTCAATGACCGATGGCGTGGCAGGTTTCACCAAACTGAAGCAGGCTTTGACCCGGGTTTGCAGATGTTGAGTGTCCGCTCTTGCGTGCTCCCGCTTTCCTTGACGTTTCTTGCGCAGGCTTACACTGTTCTCATGGACGAGCAGTTGCGTGCCGTGCAGAGTACTCAGCAAGGACTTTCGCAGCTTCAGCACATGTGTTCGGACCGCCTGAAATCAATCATCAAAGCAGTGTGGATGATGCCGTGAAATGCTGTCTTCTCGACACCTGCATAGTGGCTGTAACATCCACCCCACTGCCTGCGTGGAATGGACCTGGACCCCAACTAGCGGGTTACGGGTTGTCGTCGTTCAAAAGACAACCTCTAGAGTTGCCATGCTACTGAGTCTTGAAAGGTACAGACAGCACTGCTTCGGCATTGCTGGTTCTGGAGGGTGTGCTCCGCAAGGCCTCTTTCCAGAGTTATCACAAGAGAGGTCAGTGGAAGGCCTCGGTGGTTGGCGCCTGGCGCAGGTCACGAAACTGCCTTGAGCAAAGCTCTGGAAATGGCCCGAGAGTTGAGAAAGATGGGCGAGGAGAGAGCTCTCGTTCTCTACAAGGCCGAAGTGAGCCGTTGGGCTTCACTTGCACGAATAGGCAATGTTGAGTGTGTTCCTTGTCTTGCGCTGCTCGTGTGAAAATTTGGGTCTTTCGGAATCTGCTGCCCTTGTGATCTATGGTACATCCCCGACTCAGCACTTTTGTAGCCAGCAACATAGCATCCTCCCGCATCGTCTCCAGACATGTCGGTGAAGCCCATCCGAGAGCATGCGGGGAAGAGCCTTCTGGAGAAGTACTTGCCAGAGGTCTCCGGCGGCAAGCACAAGATGGGGTGTGCAGGTGTTCTGGTGACCCCCGGGGTGCTCGACACCACTGGGAGCCAGACCTGGGACAGCATTCTGCAGGCGAACCCATGGCTGAAGACGACTAACTTGGTGGCGAAGCCGGATCAGCTCATCAAGCGCCGTGGCAAGGCAGGCCTGATCGCTGTGAACAAGACCTTCGACGAGGCAAAGCAGTGGGTGATGGATCGTAT